AATGTATTGTATCACGTTGATTGATTTGCAGATGTTGAACCAACCTTGTAGCCCAGGGATAAATCCCACTTGGTCATGGTGAATAATCCTTTTAATGTACTGTTGGATCCTATTGACTAGTATTCTGGTGAGAATTTTTGCATCCATGTTCATCAGGGATATTGGTCTGTAATTCTCCTTTTTGATGGGGTCTTTGTCTGGTTTTGGGATCAAGGTAATGTTGGCCTCATAAAATGAGTTTGGAAGTTTTCCTTCCATTTCTATTTTTTGGAACAGTTTCAGAAGAATAGGTATTAATTCTTCTTGAAATGTTTGGTAGAATTCCCCTGGGAAGCCATCTGGCTCTGGGCTTTTGTTTTTTGGGAGATTTTTGATGACTGCTTCAATTTCCTTAGTGGTTATAGGTCTGTTCAGCTTTTCTATTTCTTTCTAGTTCAGTTTTGGTAGTTGATACATCTCTAGGAATGCCTCCATTTCTTCCAGGTTATCTAATTTGCTGGCATAGAGTTGCTCATAACATGTTCTTATAATTGTTTGTATTTCTTTGGTGTTGGTTGTGATCTCTCCTCTTTCATTCATGATTTTGTTGATTTGGGTCATTTCTCTTCTCTTTTTGATAAGTCTGGCCAGGGGTTTATCAATCTTGTTAATTCTTTCAAAAAACCAGCTCCTAGTTTCGTTGATCTGTTCTACTGTTCTTTTAGTTTCTATTTCATTGATTTCTGCTCTGATCTTTATTATTTCTCTTCTCCTCCTGGGTTTAGGTTTTATTTGTTGTTCTTTCTCCAGCTCCTTTAGGTGTAGGGTTAGGTTGTGTACTTGAGACCTTTCTTGTTTCTTGAGAAAGGCTTGTATTGCTATCTACTTTCCTCTTAGGACTACCTTTGCTGCATCCCAAAGAGTTTGAAGAGTTTTGTTTTCATTTTCATTGGTTTCCATGTATTTTTTTAATTCTTCTTTAATTTCCTGGTTGACCCATTCATTCTTCAGTAGGATGCTCTTTAGCCTCCATGTATTTGAGTTCTTTCCGACTTTCCTCTTGTGATTGAGTTCTAGTTTCAAAGCATTGTGGTCTGAAAATAGGCAGGGAATGATCCCAATCTTTTGGTACCGGTTGAGACCTGATTTATGACCTAGGATGTGATCTATTCTGGAGAATGTTCCATGGGCACTAGAGAAGAATGTGTATTCCATTGCTTTGGGGTGGAATGTTCTGAATATGTCTGTGAAGTCCATTTGGTCCAGTGTGTCATTTAAGGTCTTTATTTCCTTATTGATCTTTTGCTTAGACGATCTGTCCATTTCAGTGAGGGGGGGTGTAAAAGTCCCCCACTATTATTGTATTGTTGTCGATGTGTTTCTTTGCTTTTGTTATTAATTGCCTTATATAATTGGCTGCTCCCATGTTAGGGGCATAGATATTTACAATTGTTAGATGTTCTTGTTGGATAGATCCTTTAAGTAGGATATAATGTCCTTCCTCATCTCTTATTACAGTCTTTGGTTTAAAATCTAATTTGTCTGATAGGATTGCCACCCCAGCTTTCTTTTGGTGTCCATTAGCATGGTAAATGGTTTTCCACCCCCTCACTTTCAATCTGGGGGTGTCTTTGGGTCTAAAATGAGTCTCTTGCAGACAGCATATCGATGGGTCTTGTTTTTTAATCCAGTCTGATGGCCTGTGTCTTTTGATTAGGGCATTGAGCCCATTTACATTCAGGGTAACTATTGAAAGATATGAATTTAGTGCCATTGTATTGCCTGTAAGGTGACTGTTACCGTAGATTGTCTGTGTTCCTTTCTGGTCTATGTTGCTTTTAGGCTCTCTCTTTGCTTAGAGGACCCCTTTCAAGATTTCCTGTAGGGCTGGTTTCGTGTTTGCAAATTCCTTTAGTTTTTGTTTGTCCTGGAACCTTTTTATCTCTCCTTCAATTTTCAGTGACAGCCTAGCTGGATATAGTATTCTTGGCTGCATATTTTTCTCATTTAGTGCTCTGAATATATCCTGCCAGTCTTTTCTGGCCTGCCAGGTCTCTGTGGATACGTCTGTTGCCAATCTAATGTTTCTACCTTTGTAGGTTACATATCTCTTCTTCTGAGCTGCTTTCAGGATTTTCTCTTTGTCTATGAGACTCGTAAGTTTTACTATTAGATGTCGGGGTGTTGACCTATTTTTATTGATTTTGAGAGGGGTTGTCTGTGCTTCCTGGATTTTCATGCCTGTTTCCTTCCCCAAATTAGGGAAGTTCTCTGCTATAATTTGCTCCATTATACCTTCTGCCCCTCTCTCTCTTTCTTCTTCTTCTGGGATTCCAATTATTCTAATATTGTTTCATCTTATGGTATCACTTATCTCTCGAATTCTGCCCTCGTGATCCAGTAGTTGTTTATCTCTCTTTTTCTCAGCTTCTTTATTTTCCATCATTTCATCTTCTATATTACTGATTCTCTCTTCTGCCTCATTTATTCTAGCAGTTAGCGCCCCCATTTTTGATTGCACCTCATTAATAGCCTTTTTGATTTCTACTTGGTTGGATTTTAGTTCTTTTACTTCTCCAGAAAGTGTTTCTCTAATAACTTCCATATTTTTTTCAAGCCCAGCTAGTATCTTTAAAGTCATGATTCTGAACTCTAGATCTGACATCGTACTAATGTCCGTATTGAGTAGGTCCCTGGCACTCGGTACTACCTCTTGTTCTTTTTGTTGAGGTGATTTTTTCCGTCTTGTCATTTTGTGCAGAGGAGAATAGATTAATGAGAGAACAAAATGCTAGCAGAGTAACAACGTCCCCAGAAAATATACTCTAAACAAATCAGAAAAGACCTGAAGCAGTGGGAAAAGAAAGGGAAAGAGAGAAAAAAGAGAGAAAAAAAAAGAAAGAAAAAGAAAAAGATAAAGATAAAAATAAAAACAAACAAAACAACAACAACAACAACAAAAAACAAAATGTGATCAAATATGATCAGGCTGGTATATAGATCAGTGCCACACACTAGATTTGGGGTGTATTTTGGTCTTTTAGAGGAAAGTGCCTCCCAAAATTTTAAAGAAAGAAAAACTTATATATGTACAAAAATAAGGGTGTATATGATGAAGGGATGGAATATGACTGTAAAGATGGAAATTATAAAAAATTTTATAAAAGGAATTGATAAGAAGTTGTTTGAAAAAAGAAAGAAGAGGATTTAAAAAAAGAAAAAAGAAAAAAAAAGGGAGAGGATGTGATCAGGCAGGGGAATAGAAAACACCATATACTAGAGATTTAGGGTATATTTTAATCTGTTAGAAGAAACTATCTCAAAATTTTAAAGAGAGAACAACTTATATATATAAGCCAAAAATACGGGTAACTACTACGAAGGGATAGAATATGACTTTAAAAATGAAAAATAAAAATGTTTTTTTTAAAAAAAGGGATTGATAAGATGTTGGTTGAAAAAGGGAAAAAGAAAAATTGAAAAAGAAAAAAAGCCAGTTAAAAAAAAATTAACTTTGAAAGACTAAAGAATCATGGTAAAAAATTCTATGTGCAGTATTCCCCTAGCGCTGGAGTTCTCCCGTTCTCATTGATCGGTAAACTTGGTCTTGGCTGGCTGTTCTCGCTGATCTTCTGGGGAGGGGCCTGTTGCCGTGGTTTCCAAATGTCTCTGCCGGCGGCGGAATTGCCCCGCCCTTGCCCCCTCCCGGCTAAGTAATCTGCTCGGGTTTGCTCTCTGTGGCTTTTGTTCCCTGCAAGCTTTCCGTACAGCTTTGGAGGCGGAGAGCGAAAATGGCGGCCTCCCAATCTCCGCCCCGGAGGAGCCGAGAACTCGGGGCCCTGCTTCTCAGTGAGCCCCCAGAGAAAGGCTGTCAGTCACTCCCGTCTCCCCGGTCTCCGGCTGCATTCCATGCTCACCCGGCCTGTGACCGCGTGTTTCTATCTCTGGCACCAACCCTGTGTGGAGTCTCCAAACCCAGCAGATCCCTGCGGTGCACTCCCGCGCGGCTCCTCCCGGGGGAGGAAGGTGAGTCTCCCTGATCTGCCACTTGTTGGGTCCCTGCTGGAGGAGCAGTGGCCGGACTGTGCCGCAGATGACGGTTTATGGAACCCCGAGCTGAGAGCCTGCGCCTGGGCTCCGCCTCTGCAACCAGCTTCCCAGCTCCTATCCCTGGGAGCTCTGCCACACTCAGGCACCCCCGGTCTTTCTGTGACCCCGAGGGTCCTGAGACCACACTGTCCCGGAGGGTTCCACCCCCCGCTTAGCCACCAGAGTGACGTCCCTCGGCAGAGCAGACTTTTAAAAGTTCCGATTTTGTGCTCCGTGGTTCTATCACTTGCCAGAAGCAGCCGACGGAGGCCCTTCCCCCGCCGTCTATCCTCCCGAATATTGCCTCGGATTCACTTCTCCGCACGTCCTACCTTCCAGAAAGTGGTCGCTTTTCTGATGAGAGAGTTGTTGCTCTTCTTTTCTTCGATCTCCTGTTGAGTTTGTAGGTGTTCAGAATGGTTTATCCCTATCCAGCTGAATTCCTGAGAGGAGACAAAATCCAGGTCTCCTACTCCTCCGCCATCTTGCTCCACCCCAGATGTATCATATTTTAAATGTATTACCATTATTACATTTTCAGATATTTTATAGATAGGATGAGTGCAGTTTATTTTCCTGTGCACAAAAACATAACTGAAAGAGGGGGTCATGAGCCTAATATTCCACCCTATTCATTAGTTTTTCAGAGGACTTGCTATGTGAGAACAATAACAACAGCTGAAAACCAAAACAAACAAACAAACAAATAAAAAAACAAACCACCAAATTCCAAAACAGTTTGATTCCTTCCTTGACAGAGCTTCAAGGCATGCCAGCGTATAGATAACCACTTGAGTTTTTGGAAGTGACTCTAAACCATAATTTCAAAATGAGGACAAGCCAAAGATTTCCCACTTTCATCTTCTGCTTCAGTTATTTGTGATTGTGATCAAGTCCACATATTAGTGCCTCAAGGAGGACCTTACCCCAAGGAGAGCTGCTGTTCTCTGTATGTAATAGGTTAAAGATCCAGTGGAGAATGTGATGGCGGAAATGGGTGGCTCTTTTTCGGGAGCTGAAATGGTTACTGTCCTTATGTCATGGCACGGAGGCGATTCTTTTGAGATGACCCAAAAGCCTGATGACTCCCTTGTTCTCCAGGCCGTGGGGCTTCAGGGAGTGAGGCATGTTCCAGGCAAGAGAGTAGGCATGGCTAGAGCAGAGCATCACAGATGCAGTCAGCAAGAAAGCTGGGGCATTGAGATTTTTGAGTGATTCAGCAACCTGGCCAGGAGGAGGTGCCCATCCATTTCCTGCGATCCCAGAGCAGCCTGCGCGGCCCTGGAAGGCAGAAAGGCCATGCATGGCCACCCCAAACAGTGAGTTCTCAGCATCCTGCGCTACACCCGACAGCCAGCAGGGGGCGACGGACTCCACCCTTTAAGAGGAGGATGGCCCACGTGAGTGTTCCTTCAGAGGGCGTTCAGCTCATCCTCAGTGAGGTAATTTCCTCAGGAACTTCCCAGGAGGCTCGCCATGGCTTCAGGACTGCGTGGGGTGGCATCAGTGTGAGGCGAACACTCCCCTGTGCGCGCCACAGTGGCTAAGGAGGGGGCTGGGCCGCCACTTGTCTGTCCCAGAGGATTTTCTTCAGAGCCTGCCTTTTTTGGACTAGTCCCATGTGGGTTATTTTCTGCTTTCTCAGGTAATACCTTAACACTAGGGATTTTTACAACAGGATCTGTTCTTTAAGGGACGTGGTGGGTCAAAATAATGCTCTGGGGTTTTCTTATAGATTCGGGGTTGTTCTGGGGGGAGAAACCCCTGCACAGGTTCAGAGAGAGAGAAACACGTGGATGATGATGGTGATGATGATGATGAAAGGAATATACAAGATCTCAGGACCTTCCAGTCCAATGAGCTGAGGGACATGGGATGTACCTGGCAGAGATGTATGGAATCCACAGTCCTAAGGGTAAAAGTATAAAACTACATACCTCCCTAAATTAATTTTTAATGGTTAATTTTTCGTATAATGTGAAAGTATTTAAAAATATATATTTTTAAAAGATTTTATTTATGTATTTGACAGAGAGAGGGAGGGAGAAAGAGCACAAGTAGGGGAAGGGACAGAGGGAGAGAGTGAAGCCAGCTCTCCGCTGAGCAGGGAGCCTGATGCGGTGCTCCATCCCAGGGCTCCAGGATCGTGACCTGATCTGGAGGCAGACGCTTCACCGACTGAGCCACCCAGGTGTCCAAGAAGTATTTTATTTTATTTTATTTTATTTTATTATTATTTTTTAAATATTTATTTATTTGACACAGAGAGAGCACAAGCAGGGGGAGCGGCAGGCAGAGGGAGAAGCAGACTTCCACTGAGCAGGGAGCCGGATGTGGGACTCGATCCCAGGACCCTGGGATCATGACCTGAGCTGAAGGCAGACGCTTAACCGACTGAGCCACCCAGGCACCCGCCCCAGAAGTATTTTAAATATATTGAAAAAGTAAGTAGTAGGTGTATTAAAAGATGTTATTTTAAGATACGATATTTCAAGTATGTCAAAAGCAGAATTTGTTATAATTTTAGTTTCTTGGCTTTAAAAAGGAAGACAAATTATCCGTATTTAAAATATACTTCTTAGCTTGTTTTCAAAAGAGAGTATTTTGTATGTTTGACATTTTCTCATAATATAGTGGCGACCTTAAATATTTTTAAATATTAGCTCTTTAAACAACTTTACAGGACTCCAATGTGACTAGCGTGGTTAAAAAGTAATAATAAATCCAGGCCACTAGCATAGTTTTATAATAATGTACTAAGAAAATATCATGAATCAGTTTTAGAGGATCAAAACATAATGGTGATTTTTAATATACTAATACCTGCCTGCTGTTTAAAACCATTTAAGATGAAATATATCAAAACTTAAACCTTCAGAATATTAAAGAGCCAAGACAGTGACTGCTTTTTGTTAATTATATATAATTCATTGCTAATCATATTTCCTGCCATTAAAAATTCAAAATCTGAAGGCATTTGTTTTAATTTTGTGGATCTCCATCCAAAAGTGAAAATATATAGTCTAATTTCTTATTATAAGCCACTCTCCCATAAGAATTGATATTTTTATCCATAGATTCTCCATTGTCTATGTCGTTACTTCTCCCTTTTATTTTCTAAATCAGAAAGTCTGTTCCTATGTGTTGTTAAAAGCGTCCTGTTCCCTTGGGCAAATACCCACTAAGTAGTGCAATTGCTGGATGGTAAGGTAGTTCCAATTTTAACTTCTTGAGGAACCTCCATACTGTTTTCCAGAGTGGCTGCACCAGTTTGCATTCCCACCAACAGTGTAAGAGAGTTCCCCTTTCTTTGCATGCTCCCCAAGACCGGCTGTTTCTTGTGTTGTTCATTTTAGCCATTCTGATAGGTGTGAGGTGGTATCTCATTGTGGTTTTGATTTGCATTTCCCTGATGATGAGTGATGTTGAGCATCTTTTCTCGTGTCTGCTAGCTATCTGGATGTCTCCTTTGGAAAAGTGGCTATTCACGCCTTCTGCCCATTTCTTAACTGGATTATTTGTGTTTTGGGCGTTGAGGTTGGTATGTTCTTTATAACTAACTCTTTCTCAGATATGGCATTTGCCAATATCTTCTCCCATTCCGTAGGTTACCTCTTAGTTTTCTTGACTGTTTCTTTCCCTGTGCAGAAGTGTTTTATCTTGATGAAGTCCCAATAATTCATTTTTTGCTTTTGTTTCCCTTGCCTTTGAAGACGAGCCTAGCAAGAAGGTGCTGCGGCCGAGGTCAAAGATGCTGCTGCCTGTGTTCTCCTCTAGGCTCTTTTTTTTTTTTTTTTTTAAGATTTTATTTATTTATTCATAAGAGACAGAGAGAGAGAGAGAGGCAGAGGGAGAAGCAGGCTTCCCGCTGAGCAGGGAGCCCAATGTGGGACTCGATCCCAGGACCCTGGGATCATGACCTGAGCCGAAGGCAGACGCTTAACCATCTGAGCCACCCAGGCGCCCCTCCTCTAGGCTCTTGCTGGTTTTCTGTCTCCCATGTAGGTCTTTGATCCATTTGGAATTTATTTTTATGTATGCTGTAAGAAAATGGTCCAGTTTCATTCTTCTGCATGTGGCTGTCCAGTTTTCCCAACATCGTTTGTGGAAGAGACTGTCTTTTCCCCCATTGGATATTCCTTCCTGCTTTGTTGAAGATTAGTTGGCCATAGAGTTGAGGGTCCATTCTGTTCCACTGATCTCTGTCTGGTTTTGTGCTAGTAACCATACTGTCTTGGTGACTACAGCTTGGTAATGTAGCTTGAAGTCCAGAACTGTGATGCCTCCAGCTTTGGTTTTCTTTCTCAACACTCCTTTTGCTATTCGGGGTCTTTTCTGGTTCCATACAAATTTTAGAATTGTTTGTTCCAGCTCTGTGAAAAATGCTGGTGGTATTTTGACGGGGATTGCATTGGATGTGTGGATTGTTCTGGGTAGCAAAGACATTTTAACAATATTGGTTCTTCCAATCTATGAGCATAGAAAGTTTTTCCATTTCTTTGTATCTTCCTCAGTTTCTTTCGTAAGTGTTCTCTAGTTTTCAGAGTAAAGATCTTTTACCTCTTTGGTTAGCTTTATGCCTACGTATCTTATGGTTTAGGGTGCAATTGTAACTGTGATCAATTCCTTGATTTACTTCATTGCTGGTGTATAGAAATGCAACAGACTTCTGTGCATTGATTTTATATCCTACCAGTTTGCTGAATTCCTCTATCAGTTCTGGCAATTTTTTTGGTGATGTCTTTGGGATTTTGTACTCAGAGTGTCATCTGCAAAGAGTGAAAGTTTGACTTCTTCTTTTCCAATTTGGATGCCTTTTCTTTTTGTTGTCTGATGGCTGAGGCTAGGACTTCCAGTACTATGGTGAACAACAGTGGTGAGAGTAGACATCCATGTCGTTTTCCTGACCTTAGGGGAAAAGCTCTCAGCTTTTCCCTGTTGAGGATGATATTAGCTGTGGGTCTTTCGTATATGGCCTTTATGATGTTGAGGTATGTTCCCTCTATCCCTACTTTGTTGAGGGTTGTTTTTTTTTTCTTTCAAGAAAGTATGCCGTGTTTTGTCAAAAGCTTTCTCTGCATCTATTGAGAGGATCCTGTGTTTCATATCCTTCCTTTTCTTAATGTGGTGTGCCACGTTGATTGATTTGGGTATGTTGAACCACCCTTGCTGCCCAGGAATAAATCCCACCTGGTCATGGTGAATAATCCTTTTAATGTACTGTTGGATCCTATTAGCTAGCGTCTTGGTGAGAACTTTTTTTTCATCCATGTTCGTCAGGGATATTGGCCTGTATTTCTCCTTTTTGGTGGTGTCTTTGGTTTGGGGATCAAGGTAGTGCTGGCCTCATAGAATGAGTTTGGAAGTTTTCCTTCTGTTTCTATTTTTTGGAACAGCTTCAGAAGAATAGGTATTAATTGTTCTTTAAATGTTTGGTAGAATTCCCCTGGGAAGCCATCCGGCCCTGGACTCTTGTTTGTTGGGAGAGTTTTGATCACTGCTTCAATTTCTTCGCTGGTTATTGGGTCTCTTCAGATTTTCTATTTCTTCCTGTTTCGGTTTTGGTAGTTTATATGTTTCCTCCAGATTGCCTAATTTGTCGGCATGTAGTTACTCATAATATGCTCTTATAATGGTTTATAGTTTTGCGGCATTGGTCTTTCATTCATGATTTTATTTATTTGGGTCATTTCTCTTTTGTCTTTGAGAAGTCTGGCTTGGATTTTATCAATCTTGTTAAGTCATTCAAAGAACCAGCTCCTAGTTCTGTTGATCTGCTCTACCGTTTTTTGTGTTTTGTTTTGTCTTTATTTCTGGATCATTGATTTCTACTCTAATCTTTATTATTTCTCTTCTCCTGCAGGGTTTAGGCTTTATTTGCTCTTCTCTGTCCAGCTCCTTTAGGTGTAAGGTTAGCTTGTGTGTTTGAAACTTTTCTTGTTTCTTGAGAAAGGCCTGTATTGCTATATACTTCCCTCTTAGGTCTGCCTTTGTTGCCTCCCAAAGGTTCTGAACTGTCGTGTTTCCATTTTCATTTGCTTCCAAGTATTCTTTTAATTCTTCTTTAATTTCTGGTTGACCCGTTCATTCTTTAGTAGGATGTTCTTTAACCTCCATGTATGTGTGGTCCTTCCAAATTCATTCTTGTGGTTGACTTCAAATTTCAGAGCATCGTGGTCTCAAAATATGCATGGTATGATCTCAGTCTTTTTGTACCAGTTGAGTTCTGATTTGTGACCCAGTATGTGACCTATTCTGGAGAATGTTCCATGTGCACTTGAAAAGAATGTTTTGATTTAAGATAAAATGTTCTGAGTATATCTGTGAAGTCCATCTGGTCCAATATGTCATTTAAAGCCCTTGTTCCTTGTTGATCTTCTGCTTGGATGAAGCAGAAGTTCCTTCTTCCTTCTTCCACTGTCCATTGCAGTGAGTGGGGTGTTAAAGTCCCCTGCTGTTATTGTATTATTATCAGTGTGTTTCTTTAGTTTTATTATTAATTGGTGTATATAATTGGCTGTCCCATGTTAGGGGCATAAATATTTACCATTGTTAGGCCTTCTTGTTTGATAGACACTTTTATTATGATATAGTGTCCTTCTTCATCTCCTATGACGGTCGTTGTTTAAAATCTAGTTTGTGTGCGTACAAATTGCCAACAGACACATGAAAAAATGCTCAACATCACTCAGCATCAGAGAAAGACAAATCAAAACGTCAATGAGATACCACCTCATACCAGTCAGAATGGCTAAAATTAGCAACTCAGGAAACAAATGATGTTGGTGAGGATGCAGAAATGGGGAACCCTCTTACACTGCTGGTGACAACGCAAGCTGGTACAGCTCTTCTGGAAAACAGTATGGAGGTTCCTCAAAAAGTTAAAAATACAACTATCCTAAGACCCAGCAGTTG